ATGATTTGGTCTGCAGTTTACAGAATCATTTAGAGGCTACCATTTAAATGTGCAGTCATTAAACATTGAAACTATTTAAAAAAACATTGACCAAAACAGGAATACATGTGGAGCCAGAAGCCAAACTGTCGGGTTTACAAAATCATACAAAATGAACACTGATAATACATATCCATGCACACAAACGCACATGCATTTATCCGTTAGCAGCTTTGTTTAGCTTCTTCCGACACTTAATAAATGGTACTTGAAAGGAGGTGTTAATTCTTAACTATATTTTAGTGACCAAAGACTGTTTTGTTCTGTCAGCGTGACAATACCAGAGATATATACAGTATATAAGAGAAATATACCATGCATCAAGAATTTTCTAATGCAATGGTTAAAAACATAGTTGAACGTGAATAATTATTATTTTTTGTTTTTTTGAATGAAATATAGTTTCTTCAAATATTATGTGCAAGTGATAACAATGATGTACATGTTAAGTACATGACTGCGATTTCACATAATTCTGGCTGGTAGTTTGTGTGTCTGTGCACGAGAGTGTGTGTGTGTGTGTGTGTGTGTAGTCTTACCAGCATTTTGTGATAGTGGTGTGGATGTTTTTATTTCAGACTCTCTTTTAGAGATCATTACAATACAGTGGGCTCGTCCTAAAGACCCTTCCTCTGATTAACATGATATCCTTCATTTCACAAATCAGCTCTGAGCTCAATGAAGATCCAATGAAACATTTTAAGTTAGTTAAATGTGCAGCACCACGAGTAAGTCTTTGAAAAGTGAATGTGAAGTCGACAGTAGAAATAACTGCTAAATTCGCTGAATGCACAAGAGCTACAGCAGGACTTCAGTTGGTTTAAGGGTTCGTGGCTGTGTGTGAAGGATGTAATTGAAAGAAAATAGGATGGTGACAGTCTCATTGCTGTGTGCAGTGGTCCATATCATCTAGCAATAACCAGTTAATAACTACTTTTATATCCAATCTCTGGCAGCAGGACTCTGCTTACCAGTAGTCCTGCTTTTGGAGCTGTACAGTAGCTAACGTGAACTAGCTTCTTTAGAACAGAGTAAAACATTTATCCATCTACTGTAATGGACATACTGGTGCCAAGCTCACCTCCATATCTAAGCCATAATTGATGCTGTTTATGAATCACTGCCACCGCTACAGCTAAATGGCCACCTGGGACACTTCCTGATATAACAGTTATTTCTTTGGTCCACCTCAGATGGCTGCTTTGACCACTGGCTGTCTATCTGCACATAGTTTATGATTCAATTTCACACGACTGGCCGCAGGAGTGTTCAGTCATGCTCTGTTCGAACATCATTTACCACAAGTACTTTGCCAGGGATGCAGTGGCGGCCATTATAAACACACCAGCCAATTAACAGTTCAGAATCATTTGAATGTGGTGACCCTTTTCATTGCATCTCTCAGAGAGGTGAACACTATTTTGTGTTCTTCAGGCTAAACAGACCTAACTCCTCACCCAATAAGAATTCTGAACAGGCCAGTTTCTGCCAATCAAACCGTACCAGTGTTGTTAGGCATAACAGAGCAGTGCAGCCATGCTGAACACGGTTAGTGCCAAATAATCATTGATAACACATATTAAGATAGCACTGGAGAGATGCTGTTAATGATTTTCTCTTTCTCACTTTAAATGCACTTACAGTAATATTATTTTCATGTCATTTTTCCATTAAATGGTGAAGATTGTACAGTTTTAGTGTACAATTGTGGGTTTGGGGCCTCTTATGTAAGGATGTCTCTAAATGTAACTGTAACTTTTATGTTTTCTAAATTGATTCACACAAGTACCGATAAGGAGGGATGCCAAATAATCCATTATGTCCTAATTCTAATTAATTTGGTGACAAACAACATCCAGTAGAGAGTCAGGTGATAGCAATACATTGTTCGAGTATAAATGATTAATTGAGTGTCCACCTTCAGTACTTCTGTTGCACTTTTAAGCTCTATGATCTAGTCCCTGAATTAAGAACTGAAAGGCAAACTAGGAGCTGAACCTGTTTGGTACATTATATATAAGTCACATGTGGGGAACCTTTTTATGCTTTTGACCTTATAACTGATAAAACGCTGTTTTTCAGTTATTGTTTTTTTTTAGTATTATTTCAGTTATAACAGGAAGGCTGCTCCTGGATCCTTATTGGTTGTATTGGATGTTATACAAACAGGGACTTAATGGCTTCTAGCACTTTCTAACACTATGGCTTGGTTTAGGGTGAATGGTAAATAGTAATCAGCATTGTTCTCTGTTTTAAAAGCTGTCATGACCTTTATACCACTGATAATGAATTTTCATGTCATCTACCTGTTGTTGTTTTTGTTTGTTTTTCAAACATGTCATATGTTATTAATGTGGCCCTGTATGTATGACACATGGACGTACGGCTCAGTGTGTGAGTGTGTGCATGTCACTTTTATGTGTTACTGGACCAGGAGAGAGAGAGTGGATGATGGCAATCAATGTATTTAAAATGAAGAAATAAACAGATCCATCAAAATATTTTTGGGGTTATTTCTTTTGTTTGCAAAATTTAATGTCTGATGTGAGTGTACTTTACTATTTGTCCATACGGGCGCAGTAAAGAGCAGAGTATTGTAATCAATAAAAAAAAAAATATATATATATATATATATATATATATATATATACATATATATAATAAAACCTTTTTAGAAGATTCATTCATTAATATTGTCAGCGGCCGTAACAACAAGTATGTAATTTCATTTCATGTCACAGTGTTCCTGCGTGTACCTCCGGTGCAGTTTTTCCGATTGCAACAACAGAATAGACGTAACTTTGTTTAAACACAAAGGTATAATAATGAGCTACCAGCCTAATTGCAGAATATTTCCCTCACTGCTCTTTATTAGATTCCTTGAGTTGTCTGTCTGCTCTTTCATCATCTTCCCGTGTATCAACCGTCATGTGTTGAGAATGTATTTTGTGATCAGCTGTGTGTTTTCCTGTTCATATGATGTCATATTGGAGCCATTGGTCCCTCTGTCTTTACGTGTGTCTGTGTGGACTGAGTCATCTGAAACTAGAACAGTCAGTAGAACAAAGTGACACAGCGGGAATTGGCAACTGTTGCCCCTTTGGTGCAATAACGGCAGCAGACTAAATATGAACCACTGGAGCTCTTATATAACAGTTTCACTTACAGACAGACAGTCAACAAGACTTGTTTTTGTTTTATGTGTGTTTGTGCTGTTCATGTCTGTGAGAGGTCACCTTGGTTTCTGTGTTGTATCCTATCTCCAGGGCCCAGTATTCAAAACCTTTAATCTAGATCTGAATTATCCAACGTGGGTGTAGCGACCAAGGTTATCATTGTTATAGTTAATAGGTGTGAAAAAAACAGAAATAAAAATAAAAACTAGCTGGAATGATATTGTGTATTTACAAAACTGACTAAAATAAAACAAAAATACACAAGAAATGTGTTTAATTTGTCTGAGTCACTGCTTCCTTTTGCACTTTGTTGGTCAAAGTTAGGCCTTCACTAGTTAGTAAGTTTATTGAGACTCGGATGTCTACATGACTGTGAGTCAGTGTGAACTACTTAAATGTTGCCACTTCTCTGCATCATGCTTCACAGTACCTGCAAACTAATTTACACTTCCCAACATTTTCACATCTGTGTTAATGATGTGTGATGTTGTATTACTTTGGCCAACAGATGGTGGCCTATTCAAAGACTGCAAATCCAGCCTCTGTAATCCTAATCTTGTGCTGTCTGAATCTGAAAATCCTTTGGAAAATCAGGACAAAAACTACAACTAACAATTTTTATCTGGGATAGCAAGAAAGGGAATTATCAAATGTGGATAATTCTGATCTAGAAAAGGTTAAAGGTTTTAAAATACAGGTCCTTAATGTTCGAATAAAGTGTGAAAAGTACTTTTTTTATAAATTAGTACACCGTCTTGTGACTCATTTGTGGTTCTGTGCTCTATTGTTTCTGTATAAAAGTTCTTTCTTGCCACTTGTGAGCTCATGGTGGGAATTATTGGGTCTCTGTAAATAATCTCTAAAAAAAGTTGAAAATAAACCTGGAGCGTGTGTGTGTTTGTTGTGGACAGTATGCAGTAGGACTTGTGTGTGAAGGCAGTTGACTTTTGTTAATTCCCAGACAGATTTATTGATAAATCACAAACAAACAAAACCCAACAGAAATTACTTTATCATCTCGTGTTGTTTTCATCAAAAATCATACACATACATTTATATTGCTTCATATCCATTTTACAAATTTACATCAGATACATGATCATCTGTTTTCTGGAGAAAACAAGTTGTGTTTATGTCCAAATGAAAAGCTTGAGTTGATTATTTTTTTTCTACAAATGGGTGCATTCAGGTTTATGTTCAGCTGTGTGGCAGAGATTCCTTCACTTCCACTTGATGTCCACCATTTTGGTCTTTGCTCCTCATTAGCATTTGATTTAATTCACCTGTAGGCATAAAATCATGCGTGCAAGTATCCCTTCACTGCCTGCAGTGTATGAAAGCTTGGTTTTATTTTCAAGGAGGACAGATATGTTGTTATTTACAGCACTACTAACTTACTAACACTACTGGCCATAAATCTTTTTTAAGATCTAATTAAATTTTAAGTTGTGTTTCAGAGCTGCTTTTAAAACAGGATTAGTAAAATTTACACCCTGCTCAGGAAACAGGAAAATGCTCATTATTCTAAGTGTTAATCCTGGGAATGCTATGTTTCCACTAATGATAATGTCCTCTCCTCTTTCATGTAATCTAGGAAGACCTGTTGAACTGAACAAATGCTCCTATGGAAGGACACACAGACAGACAGTCCAGTATTTCTCTGCTAACACTCCTGAACACAAGCAGCGGCTACATAAAATGCTTGGGATCAGCCCACCAACTGTGCCCTCGAAACATAATAACAACCATAATCCCAAACAAATGCATTAGCATTTCTTGCTGACATCAGAGGAAAATTGAGCTTTATTTTGATTTTTATTGAATCTGAAAGTTTGTAGAAACATATTATGTGTTACAGAGACTTAACCTTTAAGAGTGCATACATACATGTATAATAATCTTTCAAAAAAAGAACAAAAACACTCTTCTATTCATATCTACAGTACTTGTAATCCTGATTTATCTGCTACCAAGGTCCATTATGCAATGATAGGGAGACTCCCAAGCATCTCATATACAGCAGACAACACCTTGTGCTTCCTAAAACATATCTCATGCTTTTCACACTGCACGTTTAGCCCAGGGTTAGCGTCAGCAGGCAGGATAGGGGTGTTTCAACCCCCCCATTCCAGAGACGATCTTACTCACTCCATACTGGTACTGTGATGTTAACCCAAGCTAGATTCTTAATGTTGTATCATACTGTTGTTTTCTGCAGTTGCAGCTGCTATTATATGAAAATACTTTTTACTGTGCACTTGAGTAAAGTAAGTAAGTACATTGAAGCTCTGGGCTGCAGGTAGCTGAGGACGTTAAGGTACCAATCAAAGATACAGACTTAAATCCAACTTTTGGTCCAATTTGCTAAAGTCCCCTAGGTGGCTCATTAAGGTCCACTGTAAGACCTTCAATACATTCTGAATTGTCAGTAAAATGGCTCACTTTAACACCACAGCGAGTGACATATATTTGAGTCCTAAGACACTGGTTTCTCACTGGAATGAGGCTGAAATTTAGATTCAGAGGAACTTCTTGCTTAATCATCAGTTACTTCCTCTACTTATTAATTATATCCATTAAAAAACTGATATTGGTCTATGTTGCTTAATCTGCTGAGCTGTTAACACCAGGAAGAGAAAACTTAACCTTGTGTTTGACTCCTGTTGGGTTCTATATTTTTCTTATTGTCAGCAAATAAATGAAAACACTAATACCAACAATGAATTAAATTTAAAACCTATAAATGGGCCACAGTTGCACTGGTTGACGTGCCCTTCATTACCATGACACACACTGTAGTTTATTTTGTGTCAATCCCACATACACCTTCCTGCAGCCAGAAATACTCACTAGAGCACCAAATCTGTATTAATCTGCTGCTTAAAATAGTTTGTTACGAATACACATCCCTGTCTTTGGATAAAACTATGCATTTGTGTTCTGTTTTTAATGATTTATATCTTCAATACGAGCCAATGGGAGCCACAGACAGAGAGATGGACTAACTCACTGTTGGTTTTAGGATTTCCTTACAATAACAACCATATAGAATATTTTCAGCCTCATCCTTTCAATTTTGTGCTTCAATATAATTCTGACATACTGTGGGGAGTGATTAGAAAAGTGTTCTTTACTTCAGCATGGAGAATCAAGGAGATTCAAGGTCCACTGATTGCAGGATATTCCCTTTGGATTTTTTTTCTCCTCTCTGCTTATATAATGATGCTAAACTCATTCTAGGCTCCAGTCAAGTCAGCCCCTTGGTTACAGTAAGTGCAGTGTGAAAAGGGCTTATTATTTTGGGGGGCTTTTATTGACGGTGTTGTGGGTTGTAACTCAAGCAAGCCATGCCTTTAGGAGGAGTACTCATACTCCTCTGCACTGCGTCGTCCAAAGTCCATCCAGCCAAGGTAATCTCTGTCCTTTATCCTGTGGCCGGGGGCTAGACCACTGGCTCTACTGGTGAGGGATGATCTGGTCTGGTAGGGAGAGCCTGGAGAAGACAGGAAGAGGTCGACACTCGTCATGGCACTGATGAGGACAGGAAGATGTCATGCTGCTAAGCCAAAAACATTAAACAGTTCTCGTTTTTCTACTGACTGTATAATGTAAATGTTTAACTCTGAATGAGGCTGCTGAAGTAAGTCATGCTGACTTGTTTTGTTTCTATTCCTGTCATTGTGAATTCTATAAGAGCAGTGAGCTCAGCAGGTCTCCCACTCACACAGTGTAGACTCTTAAAGAGAAACAGAGATACACAGTGACAGAGAGAGAGCAGAGAGTGCGGTCAGCTGGTAAGGAGACGAGTGAAGGAGGAACAAATAGAGGGAGCAGGCTGGTATAGAGAGGAAACATGGAGGAGGTATGGAAAGATGGAGGGAGGAGAGAGAAAGCTAGAGGGAGGCAGGGAAATGCCAGATGGTTGGACTGAGACGCAGCATGAGTGACGGCACATTACAGAAAGATGGATGTTGAAAAGGGAAGAAAAAAACACGACTAGGAGCAAAACAAGACGTGAGGAATGCTACGTGTGTAATGAGATGAGAAAGGGGAAGGACTTCCGCTCCAGTTACACTTTCTATCCATTTCTCCTCTCCATCCCCACCTTTTCTGGAGATGAGTCTGGCCAGGAGCTGGCTCAGGCTGTTTCGGGCGTCTGCGTCCTCCTGGGGTTGGATGTAGTTGGGTAGCTGCCCTGAGGGGGGTGCTGGAGCTGAGCGGGCCTGACGTGTGTGGTATTGAGGCAGGCTGTCTGACGAGAGAGCCTCACCCTCAGCTCTCTGTGACTGGAGGGCAAGAAAAAAGAAAAGATAAGGACTAGACTATAGATCTAAAGTCAAAACCTGAAATTTCAACCGTTCACTGTAACTTCATATGGATTTTAAAGCAACAATTCAGTCCACTAAGTGGTTTTCTGAGTTTGGTTTATAAGGTGGGATTGAAAAATATACCACTTTTCTTAAAATTCTTTAGGTGTGAGGGATGATGTTGCACATCCATGCAGAGATTTCAGTTCACTTCTAACTGTGTGTGTGTGTGTGTGTGTGTGTGTGTGTGTGTGTGTGTGTGTGTGTGTGTGTGTGTGTGTGTGTGTGTGTGTGTGTGTGTGTGTGTGTGTGTGTGTGTGTGTGTGTGTGTGTGTGTGTGTGTGTGTGTGTGTGTAGCGATGTTTGTCTGTCTGTGTGTGTGTGTGTGTGTGTGTGTGTGTGTGTGTGTGTGTGTGTGTGTGTCTTACCATGGTGTGTGAGGGCAGACTCAAGGAACCACTGGACAAAGCAGCCAGGAGAACACACACGCAGATACCTACATTCATGACTGGGAGGCAAAATAAATTAGAGTTAAAGGCAATCCACTATGTGGTCATTTTCCTATCAGGTCATTGGCTCTTAAGTGTCTCTCTACTGTTCTCTTTTATTGTCTCCCTTCAGCTTGTTAAATCTGTGCTTATGTGAGGGTGAAAAAAATCACAAGCAATGAATGTTTTGCAGAAAGCAGCAATAAATCATTTCACAGTCGTTGAAGCACAGTGGCGGGGGGGGCAAGATTAACCTTTGATGGCTCAGGACCCTAAGGCGAATATCATTTTGTCTTTCTCACACACTCCCTCGCTCTGTCACAGAGTGGCAGAACAATTTAGTATTTAACACTCATAGGGAGTTATGGTGTAGTAATAAATGTGCAGAATCCCAAATGAGACACACCAATTATCTCTAAATCTTAATTTTGCTCTATTTTTGAGCAGGGTCCACCTGAGAGTCAATATTAACATGATAGCACTGAGAGAATAAAGTACATGAATTTTTCCTTTCTTTATAATTTTGGTCACAGAGAGAGCTCAAAACAGCTGAACCTGCTTAAATAGTCAACATCATTTGTAGATTTGACAGTATGTTTTTCTGTGAAAGTGTAGTTGTACGTCAGTGCGGTAGAAATATATAATGTGCAAAAGGAAAAACTGCAAAAAAGATAGTATACATTCGTCAGGCTGATTAACACTGTATTTATCTTGGAGGCTGGCAAAGCAGCATATTAACTGTCATGAATGCCAGAAGATTCTTCCAGAGCAAATCATCCAATTAGATAAACCAACACCAGTCGCTCTGAGGCTTTCATTCTCCAATCATTCAAAACCCACTCTGTCTCTGTGTTTCTAGGAATGATCCTTTAACCGCACACACAGAAAACACACACACACACACACACACACACACACACACACACACACACACACACACACACACACACACACACACACACACACACAGGAGGACAGGAGGAGTCCCATGGCATCTAGTTTGACCAGGGCTATTTCAACATAATGACCTCCTCTCCACACAGACACAGAATTAAAATGCATTACAAAATGTGGAGTCCAAGCAATGTGTGTCCATCCCTCAGAAGTCTGGTTAGTCCAGATGATTGATAATGTATGATTGCATACAATATCGGCTCACTTACCCAACATGGATATACAGTACTTTGTAGGTTTAAACCAAATCTAAAAATTGTATCTGTGTATCTTTATCACTGTAACTCAATACAATTGTCCATCTGAATCGTTTTCTGTAAATTGCCACAGCCGTGGTGTAAACAGTCATTCTTTTGATGCTAATATAATTCCTCTTAGCAGCTGGTCATTGTCTCCAATTCATTATTCAGTGGGCTGGTAATGATGTGGTGCTGTAATGTGTGTGAAAGCCTCTCCTCTCTTCAGAACAAAATTAAATTAAAAAATAAATAAAAATAAAGGGATTTTTTTTATTTATTTATTTAAAACACCTTCTTGCTCAGATGAATATTTAGTAGTTTTTCAACACTCATTTGCATTTTTCCTACTTTTATTCATGAGCGCACTCCTGCCTATAATATTTGATGCAATAATAACAACTTTACATGCATATATATAAAATATCATGATCTGATTATTTGCAGACTCTAAATATACATGCCCTTAAACCGCCTGATTATCCTACAACAGTTGTAAATCACCCACCACCAAATTCATTGTTAAACATTTGAATGTACTGTCCTTAGCATAAAATAATACATACATTGTTAAATTTTAAAATATTAAACTGGAGTTTAAATAAAACTAATTTCCTAGAATTACACACCTTCCTCTCAACTTTTTTCCGATTTAAATGGCAATTTCTTGTGTGTGTTGTGATAAAGTGAAAGAAAAAGATGAAAAAAAAAAGGTTTTTGATAAATGCATAATTTGTCCTGCTGCAACAGAAAAACTGGAGAAAAATAAAAGGACACAAATTTCTAAATCAGTTTTTAATTCTTACCTGCAGTAGTTGGCGAGGACCAGGAGAGGATGACTCTGAAGATGTTGAGCTTTTCTCCTCCAGTGTTCAGGCTGTGAGTGTGTGAGAGAGAGAGACCATGCTTTATACAGACACACAGGAAGTAGGAGTGGCCTGGACAGAGGGGAGGAGCATGCTGCTGGCGCAGAAACTGGCAGCATTGACGCAACTGAGGACGCATACTGCAAACGCATTTACACGCAAACATGCACACACATACACCAAGCTATATGAAAAAAAAGGGTCAAGACAAAGGTGACAGCTTTAATTGTGTCGCCTCCCCCTCGCTCACCTGTGTGAGAAACAAAAAAAGGAACACGTACACACACCTTCACAAACACACGCACACTGTTTTAGTGGTTTGAACCAGTGGTTTCCAGTGAAGAGAGGCTTAAAGGCTCTTTAAAATGAAGTAGCGTGTCTGAGCATTTTAGTGGCACACACACACACACACACACACACACACACACACACACACACACACAGAAAGATATGAACATATTGAGACAGAGCAGTGGAGAGACTTTTATTAAAGATGAGGTCCAAAGAAGAAAGAAGTCAAAGAGAAAGAATATCTATTGTGTATTCTTATAGTGGAAAAGAGGATGTAGAATATGTAGAGAAAAATATGCACCACTCTGCAGCTAAAGGCCGGAAAACATATCCCCTCCATCACTATGATTGAGTCTTTCTTTCTAATAGACCTACCAACATGCAGTTCAGTGCCCTTTCAATTTCAGTGAGGGCAAAATGAGTCTGGCTGATCAAAACTAGGGACATTGTTTACCTCTGACAGGCCACTGCAGTTTCATAAAGGAAATACATTTATTTTCTTCATACCAGCAATGATCACTGAGGGAGTTCGAACAAAATGAGTCCAAAGTGGGTCAAAATGTAATTCTGAAACTTTAAGTAAACCTTTATTGCGTCTGATGCATGTGCAGCTGCTGGCACGTCGGAAGAGCTGAGAGAGAGAGCTGCTGCTGAAATGCTTTTCCTGTTCGTCTGATTCATGGAATATACAGTATATATTATAATTGTTATTAATCATCAGAAAAATTCATGCAATACTTCAAAAATCATTCATGCTTTCATGATGTTGTTCTGTAACTATAGGCCTTTATGAAATACAGACACACTGAATAGAATGGGTATAAATGCTGTAGGTAAGGTTTTAACTTCTCACAGCTCTGATAGAACATGATAGAAATGTTGTTAAAGACATTAATAGCTTTAAGGTCTCTTTGAACTACCTGAATAAAATGTTGGAATGTACCACAAGCATCAAGGTCAAAGTTAACTGAGAGACATTTTTAAACAGGCACTTTTTTTTATGTCTGATATAAAAAAAAAAAATCTCTGGAACTCAGAAAGTGAAAGTGGTGTCAACTGCATGAATGTCCTTTGTTGAAGAAGACTGAATGCCAGTCATACCTTAATTGGTGCGAGCCACACACAGGAATAATAACATGAAGTGGTGATGCAACTGTTTTTTAAAAAGGTTCACTAAAGATGTAAGGACTGGCTTCGGCTTTTAACTCATTGTTCACGCTGCAGCATGAATTAATCAGTGATTTACTTCTTTATTCACATCATTAAGCATTATGTCTGTAGAGTCGTTACTGCAACAGTCAAACCATAAAGCTATTTGAGAAAAAAAGGTATTTTATTGTCTTCTATGAGACCTGATCTATGAGAAAGAGTTTGAGGTATGTAGCAGCTTGTGTAGAGTGGAGACACACAACTGTGCTGCCTTCACTTGCAAGGATTCAGTTATTATTCCTGGTATGTCCATTTAAATACTGATTTGCTTGCAGGGCTTATCCGAATCATTTAAAATTCTTCAGTTGCTCAGCTACTGGCGAGGTCATAGGAAGGCTCTAAAGCAAAAAATATTTTCACTCTTTAGCTCTGTGTAGTCCAGGACCTGAAACTTTATGTTCCCCAGGGATCTTTGCTGGCTTTGCTAAGGCTTACATTAATAAACAGTGATAAACAACAATGGTGTCACAAAACTTACAGAGTCTATCTTTAAATGAATGTGTGTGTGTGTGTGTGTGTGTGTGTGTGTGTGTGTGTGTGTGTGTGTGTGTGTGCAAGAATAAGAGACTGTGTAAGGGGACTATGTGGGTCTGTTGTGTGTTTGTAGCTCTAATCCAATATGTTAATGAGGCTAACATTAGCCAGTTTCCTAACTCTGTCATTAGCAGCTGTTTAACTCTTGATGGGGCATTCACCTACACTGTCATTGGCACCTGTCTAAGGTCTAACAGACACAAGCACAAACACGGCATTTGGAAATTGTTCACGGTTTTCAAACCAGCTTCCTGATTGGTCATTGGAGGGCACCATAGCCATTAATTGCCTTTGCTTCATGAATGATATTACCTTTTCCACCATGTTTCAAAAACCTATGGTGTCTGAGATATAGAGTGTGCTTTTGGGCAAACAGACAGCTGAACAAATGACACCCTCCTCCCACAGGATTTCATTACTGAAGTGCCGCTGAAAGCCTCCTCAGACAGCTTCTGTCTGCTGTTTGGGGTAAAAAAAAGATGAAATGTCTACAATAAACAACAAGTGTGATGAAACTACATTCTCTGTTTAATATGCATGTTTTCTACTACTTATAGTTCATACCTTCCCACATCCACATTAACCCACTGGAAGGCCAAATAGCACAACCACCTTTCCAGTCTCCACCTGCAATCAACATTATTTTCACACATTATATGGATATTTACAGGCTTCTGTCCAAAGCTATTTTCCCACACGCATCCCAACCCTTCCTCTGATGGGCGAGTCAGGGTCTGACTGACGTACATGTCGTCATCAGAGGGTGAACGCAATTTATAACAAATGTTGCTACAGAGTTTGCTGTTTGATCACCTGCTTCACATCAAATGCACCTGACGTCAGAGGTCAGGGAGATTTGGACCAACCCTGAAGGATTTTACTCCCCGCTGTGATGCCCGAGGACTGTAGGCTGTTTTTGCTGTCCTGTCCTGGACATGCTGGTTGTCGGTTGATGTTGAAGCTCTTTTCTGTTATTTTATTGTGTTTATGATGCTGCACATCCGCTGTCGCCTGCTTGTGGCCCACGTGAAGTCATTTGGTAACTGCTAGCCATCTTCTGCTCTTTGGCTGCTGCTGTCTCACTAGGCTATGTGAAGTTTTTGTTTCCATAGCTAGAAGTTGGGAATTGAGTTCTTGGAATGGCTGTACTCATTCCCCTGATTGTTGTTCTGTGACGTACATTATGTTAACGTACGCAGTGGTACAATGTGAATAGTCATGTTGGACTGATAAGAAGAAATGGTTTAGAAAAGTATATTTCCCCCATAATTCCCCCTGAAGCTGTTGTTGCCTTTGGGTAGAGGATAATGGGGCTATTTTAAGTTGGCTTTGGTGATGCAAACATGAGTTTCATCTTGCTCACAGCATATTCACGTAAGTGTTGCCCTGTGTTATTGGTTTCTTTGGGCGCTATATGGCTTTTGTCATACAAAATAGTCACAATCATAGTTTCAACACTTTTAATATTCATATATCTCAGTTTCAAGGAGCTGCAGAGCTCCCTGTTTATGCTACTGCTACCCTCAGCTGCATACATTGCCAGTCTGTGCTTAAATCCATGTATCCTCGATCTGCTTAACTTGTGATCCTAATATATGTAAGTGATACTGCTGCATACCTTACATGTTTTATCTGCTGCTGCATATCCGGTAAAATGCTTTATGCGTCTCATTTTACTGGACAGAATATTCCTCTCTGGGAGTGTCCAGCTGGGGATTGACCCCCAGGTAGCCCAGTCATGTTTTTTTTTTTATGTTATCAGTCTTTTATGGTTGTGAAGAATGATGGTAATACTCAATTCTGTACATATTCTGGATTCACATACTGTAATAATCCATTTAACGTGAGTCGGATGAGCGAATAATGAAAAGTATAGTGTCTTTCACAGATCGATTTGTTTGTTTGTTTACAAGTTATATCCAGATTTATCTTTATGCCAACTTGACTGTGGTTGAGCACTCAATCTGAAAATTTCCAAACAAGGCATCACTAGCTGGCCTGTGGTTCATAATGACAACACATGGAAGAAGACATGTAGACATGCAGTTATTTAAGGAATGCATTCATGTTTATTCTCTCTCCTGGTGGTGAGTCATGGTGCTTGAGTTAATTGCAACGTTGTGTTGCGTGGGACAGAAACCTCTTCAGTAGATGGACCCTCTTTTCTGCTCTAATCAACTGGCTTGTTCTGTATTGTCAGACATGAAGGGAAGGCCAGGGGCATGGATGAAGCTAGAGGGGGCAAAGTAGGCAGGGACAGAAATGATGTTGATGATAAAAACATTAATCAAATCATCTTTAAAGAACCATGTTTATGGGGCTCCCGGATAGCTCACCAGGTAGAGCGATTGCCCCATGTACCAAGGCTAAGTCCTTTCTGCAGTGGCTGTGGGTTTGAGTCTGACCTGTGGCCCTTTGCTGCGTGCCGTCCCCTCTCTCCCCCTTTCCTGTCCATCTTGAGCTGTCAGTACAGGTACCATCTGGGTGAGCAAATTTAAGTTGTTAATTCCTGCATCTCCCTAGATTATGTTTTGATACAATCTGCTGACTGGAAGATTGTTAGTGATCACCTCTTAAAGTAATCAACTGCTGTCGTTCAAAACCGGGAAAGTGCCTTCCCTGGAAATAATGCTGCTTTCATTATATCCTCTCCTTGCGGCGTGTTATTGTCATCTTGAATTTCAGATGCAGGTTAAGGTTTTCCTTCTAGATGATGCTACAGAAAGTGTCACTGTATAGCGTCAGTAATAGCAGTTACCTTATGAACTCTCTCTCTTCAGCGGTCTGTCTGACTCTGATGTCAGTTACTTCGATTCAATGAGACACTTGAAAAGGTTCCTCTGAAACACCTCAATGTTTTTGTACATGGTAGAGCCTGCATCACAAGGACTCTAATAATGGACTAATATATACAATAGAAAACAGATAAAAAGCAAAGAAAATCCTCTTTCCCACCACAAATACTTGTGTACTATACAT